AAAAAAAAAAAAAAAAAAAAAAAAAAAAAAAAAGAAAAAGAAGCTCTTTCGAAATTCGGATCCGAGGATTAAAAAACGAGGATTGTATCATCAATTCATTTTTCGACAAGTGAGTCGTAAAAATCTTCATATCTTACAAGAAAATTCCTCTATTTTGATTTTAAAAAGATTTGATTTTAATAAAAATTCGCGTGTAGATAAAATATAATGAAACCAGACTAATTGTTATACGATGAATTAATCATGAAATCTCTTTGAGCGCGTGAAATTAATCTTTAAATTTTATGATTTTTTTTTTTTTTCATATTTTATATGTAATTTTACGAAACATTACGAAATTATAATCCACTATGATCTCACAATGTTGCATATAAAGCGGAATCATTGTTGGTTTCGATAATTTATTAATCGAACTCGCGTAAGATATATAAATATTTCTGTAATTTAATTGTACGTTACAAACATGTCGAGTTTTAATAACGTTAAAATGACTCGCTTTGAAAATATATCTTGTTTCATATTTCACTTAAATATAATCGATTCTGTTAAATATATCAAAAGTAATGATTAATGAATATAATTTGACGAGAAAGATTCACCGTTATTCAAAATGATTATCAAAATGAAAATCTTTGTTTTTTAAACTTTGTTTCTTTTCCAATTTTCCAATCGATTTTAAAACGATTTCAAAATTGTTTCGACCTCCTCTTTCCTTTTTTTTTTTTTTTCCCCATTGATCGAATTCATGATTGTTGTCGTGGCTTTGAGGATTTCGCGGCCACACCAAAGGATACAAAAGTTTAATAAATTCATTCATCGAATTTAATACGGTGGAAGGGCATACGTGCACGCGAGCCCGCTTATTGCCAACACAACACATATTCAGCAATTTGTTCGCGTTCGATGAGATATCCCGTTCTCGCAATTTATCCGTTTGGCAAAATGACAATTCGACGGTTTGTCCCATCGTCGAAGGTCGTCGATTCGTCGATTCGTCGATTCGATACCGTCCTATCCGTTCGCTTCCATCCAATATATATATATATATATATTTTTTTTCCATCCTCGTAATAAATTCGTTTATCTTCCACCATTCTGCATTTTTTTTCACGGTCCCGTTTGATTAACTACGAACGGATCGCGTGATTTCCGGAAAAAATTTGGGGATCCACCGAGCGGTACACTTTTCAGCCTACGCCATTCATGGAGAAAAAAAAAAAAAAAAAAAAAAAAGAAAAAACGGGAAAAAATGGACGAGCATCGTTCCTTTTTTTCCGTGTCGATCGTTCGAATTTCCACTTTCGTAACTCGCGTTTGTTTTTCCGCTCGGATGTATAACGAGTCGATATTAAGAAAACAACGAGAGAATCCTGGAAACGGCGGAGAAAGAATAAAAAAAAAAAAAAGTTAGGAAACGAGAAGTAATGACGAAACTAGGGGGCACTAAATGCCAAGGAAACCGAGAGAAGGAAGGCAACGAATTAATCATTTTTTTTTTTTTTTCTTTCTTTGCCGTGCTCGAAAACACTGGTTGATAAAAAATATTTCTTTCGAGATAAGAAAGCGAAGCTTCAACGAACGGAATCCTCTTGATAAAAACGTGCTTACGATTTCTAATAGCTTGCTGTACACTTCTCGTCCGATGTTGCGAGAAATTTCGCTCCGATTATTCCGTAAATTGCGACAAGCATCCGAAGCGTACGAAGATAGGGAAAGTATGAAGGAAAACATGGAACGATATCCATTCGATCGTTTTCATCTTGTGTTGTGTTTCAACTCTGCTGCTAGTTAATAGAAAAAAAAGGGAGGAGGGGGGAACAAAGATCCCTTGGAACAAGAAACGACGATAAAGAAACATTGAACGGTGAGAAAAAGTGGAAACGTAAGTAAGGAAAGATAGAAAAATGATAGAAAACCGAGGACGAAAATGAGAAACATAGAATGGAGAGCGCGACTAAAACGAATACACTGCGCATCGAACAGTGTTACATGGAATAATATGTACTTATTCCGTTAGGGAAATGATCGAATGATGGATAGGATCGAAGATGTGTGTGCGTGTATATATATATATGAGAAGAAGCAGACGCACGCGCGAGTACAGGCCAACTCGAGTTGAAACATCCATTGCATCTGTAATGTCATCCCAATGCCTCCTGCAAGCCTCTCCTCCTTGGTTCTTGCCCTCATATCACGCTCACTGACAATACATCTTCGATGGCTGTGAAACCTCGGAGTTATATCCAAGAATCCCATCACGAAATCCGAATAATCGAAGAACGTGCGCTATTTCTTGTCTCGTGCCTTCGTGATCCGAGAATCGGATGGCCGAGAGAAGAAATATAACGTATTTCAACTGTTTCTACCGATTTTACCATCCATGTGTCGAATTTAACCAAGAATTTCATCGCGAAATTCGAATAATAATAATCGAACGCGACTCGTATATCTCCTGTGTTTCAGAGTCGAATGGTAAGTGACCGA